ATAATCCCTCAGTGCACCATCGCGGTAGATGACTGCACCAGAGACTTTGTTGGATGATACAATAACTTCAAAGCCTCGTGATCAGTAGCAATGGTAAGTGTTGGTCCAGAAAGGTATTTATGAAGCCGTTTGACAGCCCAATATACAGCAAGTGCTTCTCGTTGTGTCTGAGAATATCCACGTTCGGCTTTTGAAAGTCGACGAGGAATGCAGATCACTGTTCAAGGATTGCTCCTATTCCAGTGGGAGAAGCATCAGTAATGATCGCCAAATGATGTTTGGCGGAAAATGGCTTCAAAACAGCTGAAGTCTGAAGATAACCAAGCAGTGCACGAAACGTCTTCTCATGGTTGGAGAACCAAGAAAATTGATTAAAAGATATGACATCAAACAGACAACTCGCATTTTCGGCAAAATTAGGAATGAAACGGGATTAATACTGGAGTGCTCCTAGAACTGAACGCAGTTCTTTTAGATTGTTTGGTGATGACGCATTCACTAAAGGGGATAGACGGCTGTTAGCAGGTTTAAAACCGCTGCAATCCACAATGTAGCCAAGGCATGAAAATGATGGGACACAAACAGTGCATTTATCAGGATGAATAGCTACACTGAACTCAAAAAATCTCTTCAGTAAAGACAACAGACGCATATCATGGGGAGCTGTGTCAGCAGCGTGCACAATGACGTCATCTTGGTACGTCCCAACTCCCTCCAAGACTTTTGAAATAGTTTCATAACTTGCTGAAATACAGCTGGTGAAACGTTCAGACCAAAGGGAAGGAAATTGTATCGGAAAAACCCAAAGGGTGTGTTGATCACTGTAAGGTTACTAGAGGCTTCGTCCAGCAGGATGTGAAGATATGCATTTTTAGATCGATTTTTTAAAACACTCTTTAACCTGATAAACGATACAGTACATCTTCTGGCTTTTCCGTGTTGCATGTACGTTGTAGAAGCCGCGTATTTAGCGTAAGCCGGTAGTCACCACAAATTCTCGGAGTAATACCATCAGCCTTCAGTGGGGTAACTATCGGAGCAGCCCAATTCGATTATATGACAGGAGTCAGTATTCCTTTCGCACACATTGATCTTATTGCTTGAAGAACAGGCTCGCGTAAGCCAAATGGAATAGTCCGTCTCTTAAGAAATATAGGCTCTCCTGTAACTTCGAGCCTCACCTTGGGAATCCGCATGCCACCTGTAGCCTTAGAATATTTAGGAATCAATTGTTTGAGTTCATTCTCGTTCACAGAAGTCAGGAAGGTGATACTGGTTTTCAGTGAGCGCAGAACTTTGAGTCCGACTTTGGTCCCGACATTGAAACAAAAATATTACAATCGATGGAGGTACCTTGGGGTACCTTGAGGGATCGCGCAACTACCAACTAGAGGTACAGAATGTCCAGTGATACCGCGAATGGTAAAATCCGTGGTCACTATCACGGCACTGGGGTAGAATGCAGTTAGATCTGCTCGTGGAATAATGAACTCAACAATACCAGTGTCAACAATGAAGTCATGCTTTTGACCAGAAGCGGATATCAACGTTTTAAAAACATGCGACGAATTTTTGGACAAAACGGATAGTGCAAGAGTGGAAATATCTTCAGATAATACCTTCACGTCAGTATTTGGGTCAGAAGTTCAGTGACACACTTTCTTGGACTTACAGACAAGTTGAATGTGTCCTGTTTTACCACAGATAAAACACTTCGCTCGTCTGTGGGGGCATGAATATCTGGAATGGTTTCGCCCATAAGACTCACATTTCCCAAATTCTGAGCCACTGGATTAGGGTTACGATCTGTGAAGTGACATGTTGATGGATTTGGGGCACGACAATCTATTCGAGGTTTGAATTTGTTGTTTGTCTGCATCCTAGAATTATTTGTTTCATAATAATTTAACAAGACTGCCTCCTCAGACTTCGTTACATGGTTTACATCTTCATATTGTTGACAGATTTTCCGAATAGTTTGAAATTTCTGGTCCGGATACAGTAGCAGCTTCTGCAGTAATTTGGGCAGCTGAATGCAAGCAATAAGTCTATCACGCAGCTGGTCTTTCAATCGGGCACCGTAGTCACATTTGGCTGTCTGTGTTTGCAGCTTCAATACGAAATCACGAACCGACTGAGAATGAGAGCGGGTCAACATATTGAACCCAGCTATTTCAGCTGCTACGAAGTTCATCGGCTTGAAGAGTTGAAGAACTTTTTTCTTCAATGCAGTGCAGGAAAAATTGATTGGAGATTCAGGATACACTAAATTTTTTATCAACGTATACGCCTCCTTGCCAACGAAATGTAGGAAATATGCCGTGAGTTTCTTATCATCCATATCGGACTTTGCGAGGCACCATATGTCGAACGGTTCCAAATAATCCTCTGCGTCACGCGCAGTTGAATTAACATCTAATGATTCCATTTCGGCAGGCATGATGAACTGTCCCAATCGCGACGCCAAAATGTGAGAATTAAGTGCCGTACGTATATCGGTATAACCAGACCAACTAGAAATCCATAATTCAGATCGATACAACATGTATTCGAATTGGCGTATATGTTCAGCATACGGAATATTAAAACAAGAGAATAACGAAAAGAGCAATGAATAGAGTATCAGTTACGTTCATCACAGTTTACCGAAAAATCATCTAAGCTTAAGTGACCTTGATTTTGTTCGAAGCATCACAAGAACGCACATAACGTCTTGTGCTGACCAAGCAGATTTCTTTAATTTTTTATGCTTTTCATAGAGCGATACCCAGGAGGTGGTCTGACGAGTTTCAGTGGGAAATTCCACGCTTGATTAGAACATTCCTATCAAACAGAACTTTCCTGGTGAAGGTATGCTTGATCTACATTTCTCGGCGCCGTTCAAGGCTGTGTTTCTGATCCAAGTCAATGACCTTGCCCCAGATCAGACCTAAAACTGACCTACGTTCGGTCTGAACAAGAATTGGTCAACAGGCCTTTCACCGCTCACCCAGCTAACAAATGGCTGTCCACGCTGCGTCGAATACCCAGTTCAAGGTGCCATTGGACACTTTTTATGCAAGCCCTTACACTGATAACCAAAGTTGCAGTGCTGCAGTCTTTTATTGCTTGGGCCTCTCAGGTGAACGGCAGCCGCCTGACAACAAGAACATATCCTCATATACTGTGTAACAATCCCTGAATCCGTATATATTTCCACTCTGGATAGGGTCATGCGCCTGCCACTATCTACGCGTGTTACCAAAGCCCACCGGGAACCCTGCTGAATAAATGCAGCCTAGTCGGCCGAAAGGGGACCAAGGTTGCATTTGCATGATTTTCGCTCTCTATCATTGACTGACCCAAAAACTGTCGGATTTATGGCTGAGTGACAGAACCACTAGCTGCCTAAATGCCTGACCGGTTGGCTGACTATCTGACCGAATGGTTGACTGGTTGGCTGTCCATCTGATCGAATGAGTGTATGAAGGATGAATGGATTACGACAGTCAAGCTCAACAACCAATCGGATCGCTTAGTTTGTCTCTGTGTTTTGCCAACTCCGCGGGATGAAGATCGGGAATTTGCACTATCGCCGAGGTGTGATAACTTACAGCTTATCGCCTTATGAGCAAAATGCTTTTGCTGGATTCTTCAAACATGGATTCCCGAACTTGATGCGACGTTTCCGAGAGAAGGTGTGGATCGTAGCTCCACGTGAGTTGGTTTCGAAATGTCTGATCGTTGCTTTTTAGCCTTTATTGCTAGCTACCTGGTCATAGAGTGGGCGAACCGAGAAAACAAACGAATGCACCGCAAGGCTGCGCAAACCGGACACTGAAATAATCAAATCCCTCCGGACTGACTAACCTGACCGTCATAAGCAATGCAGACGTGTGTAGCTTCTTGTTTCGAGTATAATTCTTAACCATTGGTCGGTTTTGATCGCTTTGACTGTTCGGTGCGTCTATGGGTTGATTTTGGGCACTAACAAACCTACAAATTTGAAACCGGCTGAAGTTCGTGGACTACAGACTTCTATAAGCTCAGATTTTCCTCGTCCTGTAGTTTTTTGCTAAGGTTACTCAGCAGCACAACTATTCTGGAATGAAATGTCGTTATCTGTCACCGAGGCAACTTGGGTCACGAGGTTTCCTAAATGTGAAGGTCGGTAATGTGCTGATGTCAGTTTACTTTGACCCTAGGTAAGTCCAGGGCCATACATATATTGGGGGATTCTACCAGGCTCCCAAGGATTGGCCAGTTTTCTGTAACATGAACAGAATGAAGATCTCCTTCCCCTCCACTTTACTTAGCGGTTGCGCTTAATATCATTGTTTTCGTATTGTATGCAGCGATTGGCACGATGCGGTTCAATTCTCTGAGCCCCCGGAAACCTTAAGAAGACAAGACACCAAGAGTACCGGACGCTTGTATTTGTTAGCTTGTTTTGGATGGTTGAGCTATTTCTTTATTAACCTACAGGCAGCCTAAAGTGGCCCAAACACGGTCGCCTCCATCACAATCTGTCGATCGGATTAGCACCTGCGAGTGTCAACTAAAGTAGGAGTAAAAGTATCTGGCAGAGTGTACCCTGAGGCTGCAAACGTTCGTTAACGTATGTGGGTGCACACAATCCTCCTATGGCGTAAGTGGTAGCAGTCCGATCAGAAAAACTGAAAAAGACTCGGTTATGAGAGAGAGAGGGAGAGAGATCAAGAGATATAGCCAGACACCAGATGCGATTGCATGCTCAGTTAGTTATAAAAGCTGGGCAGCTACGCATTGAAGGTGATTCTTTAGTGGTACTAGCTACCTGATCGAGTCCTATCTACCGGCGTCACTGAACATTGGTTAGGTTGGACCCGGGTTTCCCATTTATGGAACCCGGTTGATTTTACTGGTTATTGTTTTCATGCCCCTTTGCCAAGTCATACACTGTCCACTTCTCGGTCGTTTCCACAACACAAGGCCAGGCGAAAAGAGCTCTGCGAGTTTGCTAGTACTCGGGTCCTAACCAGTGGAAGCTATGGTCCATAAGTAACCCACCCTTAGAGGGTGATTTCCTCTTTCCTCAGAGCATCTGGCGTACCTCAGTATGCCTAACCCGATGTTCTCACCAGACACTGGCCAATGCTTCGAAGATACCGATGGTTAGATACTCAACTTTCCTATATCTTCTGAACGTATAGGCCATGCGTCCTATCCATAAAGTAGTATGGATCACCGCAGCACTGTATACTCTGCCCTCGCCAAATAAACTTACGTCACGCGGGTGTCTTTGGTGTCGGAGTTGACAAAAGCTGATATTCTCTGTTCGATTATTGATCCCATCTTCAACCAGTCCACCGGAACATGTACAACCGTCCAGGTAAACATATTTGTCCATCGCGTCTATTTTCTCGCCTGCAGGCATAAGGTTTGGGTTTGATCCCACGCAGTCATGTAGCCACTTGCACTTTCCAAATGTGGAGTGCATACCAAACCGTGCGGTAAGAGTATTTAGGTTGTTTAAAACGTTTTAAATTTAAGGATCTGAACCAAGTAAAGCAATGTCTGTGGGCGAACGTCCGTAGAGCATTTCGACCCCCGACATTTCAGAAGCAGGCAGGGAAATTTCATGCCAGACGTCATTAGCAAATTTGAAGAGGAAGGGCGAGAGAGAGCAGTCTTTATCTTTGAATCTCTAAAGACCGTTCTTGTGGCACCCCAGGTGCTCTTCTACATCGAGCTGAAAGCACAGATATCGTTGTGTTTGTTGACTTGTAGTTAGGCAATGTAGGTTTACTAAGCGCTGTTGAGGCCCAATTGGGTGGTCGTCTTGGGTTGGGTACGAAACGCACGAACAACGGAAATCGTCTACCACATATGTGTGCCGATCACAGACTGTTCCCTTGCAATACCAATTTCCGGAACAGAGGAAGTCGCTTGGCCGTTTTTTGTCCACCAACGAACCAGTCCTGAATTGAAGTAGACCACATCGCCGTCAGTTGACGGTTGGGAGGGTGGATCGCTACCAAGCACCTCTTCTGGAACACCAGCTTAGGCTCTGAACATACGCTTATGCGCTGCTGCTTTTCGTTGCGCTTTTCAGGTCTACGTGAAACCCGCACAACTTTCCCAGCCATTGAGGAACTAGTGAACTCCGAAATCAAACGAAACTTTCGCAACTGGCTCCTTGAATACCTGCCGGATCGCCCTTTGCCGGATATTAACGGCCCCTGGGAACAGACATCCACAATGCTACTTACAGCTTGAACTTCCACTTTCGATACAACATAGCCAACTTCATCCAAAATTTACATATCTCATAGGATCGTGCTGGAGGCTCGTGACAGAAATTTCCTGACCGCAACCACAACTCAACCCGGCGCCAGTTAAAACCATGTCCGTACAGACCGCGAAGCTTGGTGGACCCAAAAAGCCGAAGAAATGAAGGAGGCGAAAACTGCTGGAAACTTCCGCCGGTCATCATCATCATCGTCAGCTGTACTAACCGCGTACTCGTCGTACAGTGGTTGTAGCTGCCGCAGTTTCGTTCACCGATGATTTGGGGGGGGAGGGATAGGTAGCTGCGCATTGCAGGCGGGAGCTGATAAATTGGTACATAAATCCAGCACTGTCAGTGGGCTGACAAGTGGTGAGGGAGTTGGAAAAGGAGCTATGCATTGAAAGCAATAGCTTCGATGCACGAGCGCCATTGAGGGCGCGACTGGGCCATATCTGACAATGTCTCTAGCCATTGATGTGGCCCGTCTCGAAGTCCCCATCCAGGAAGACGGCGATGACCAGCGCAGCTGAGTTTGCTGGTAATGGCTTTCATACTTCGCTGCCAAGTCATTGTTTGACCGCCTGTGGCTCTCTTCCACCCT